GCAGGTGCATGGGAAAGATGGATGTTGTACTGGGGCACAGGAGGTGGTCTGTGAAATATCCTGCTCTTCAGGAAACCAGCCAGGTTGTCGTTACTGAAGATTTTTTATAGTTATGGGACAGGGTGTTGATATCTAATTTCACTCAGCTTTTCCAGCATTACTTGGTATTAAAGCTTTTCAGAGTGCTTTCATGTACACCCAGAATTCTCTTTTTCTTTTTAAATATGTTTTTAAAAGAAGGGAGAGAGATAGAAACATCATTGATCGCTGCCTCCTGCATGCCCCCTTCTGGGGATTGAGGCCACAACCCAGGCATGTGCCCTGACCAGGAATTGAACCAATGACCTCTTGGTTTCTAGGTTTATGATCAACCACTGAGCCACACCGACTGGATACACCCAGAGTTCTTAAACCAAGGGTGGGGGATACAAGGGAGTGGTAGTCTATGAGTGGATTTCAAGAGTCTGTGAACTCTTGGAAATCATAAGAAAAACTATGCATGTTGGATTTTTGGGAGAGGGGGACAAAAGTGGTCACAGGGATAAGTGAGGAGTAATTGACCTGTTCAAGAATGGGCTTTAGCCCCAACCGGTTTGGCTCAGTAAATAGAGTGTCGGCCTGCGGACTCAAGGGTCCCAGGTTCGATTCCGGTCGGGGGCATGTGCCTTGGTTGTGGGCATATCCCCAGTGGGGAGTGTGTAGGAGGTGGCTGATCGATGTTTCTCTCACATTGATGTTTCTGGCTCTCTGTCCCTCTCCCTTCCTCTCTGTAAAAATTCAATAAAATGTTTTTTGTTTTTTTTTAAAAGAATGGGCTTTAGAGCAGACTGTGAATTCCTTATCATTCATATGCAAAATGATATGAGACTACAATTTTCTGATGTAAAGAGTTGATTCCATAGTTTATATTTTCAAAGGAATGGTGACTGCCCTAAGAGGTTAAGGACTATTGGATTAAGACAGGCTTCCATATTGTTTATGGGGCCTAGAAATGACTAGAAATGAAGATTCCTTCAGACCTGCTGTTGGCATACATGTCAAGGTATCTCACATACTAGCCTGCATGTCCAAGCTCAGACTACCTGCCTCTCACACACAGGGTCTAAGGTTACATCAGTCCTGAAGTTCACTCTCATGAGTATAGATCTGGGGTTGAGGCACATGTAGGCCCTGGAATTGGGCCATTTGGGCTAGGAGGTCCAGGGTTCTGAGTTCCCAGAGCAGGTCTAGAATTGGGGGGGTGGGCACAGGTTCCAGGTGGGCACTTCTAGATTCCCTTGGACGTCTTAGCCCATGGAGAGGGACACAGCCAGAGGATGTCAGAGTGGGTCCCTCTCCCTGGGTTTAAGCAGTACTGTTCTTGAAAACAGTCCCTGTGAGGAAGTTGAGGGTCTTGGAAGACTTAGGGTCTTGAAGAAAAAGGATGTTAGGATGCTGTGAAACCTAAGTTTTTGTGTTTTGTTTTATGTCTAGTCTAGTTCTTTTTCCACTTAATTCTCAAAAGGTGTGCTATGAGTCCTAGCCAGTTTGGCTCAGTGGATAGAGCGTTGGCCTTCGGACTGAAGAGTCCTAGGTTCAATTCTGGTCAAGAACACGTACCTTGGTTGCAGGCAGGATCCCTGGCCTTGGTGCAGGAGTCAACCAGTTGATGTGTGTCTCTCACATTGATTTTTCTCTCTGTCTCTTCCCCTTCCTTCCACTCTCTTTAAAAATCAATGGAAAAATATTTTCGAGTGAGAATTAACAACAACTACAAAAAAATAATAATTAAGGTGTGCTATGATAGGTTCTCTATGACCTAGATCTAGCTCACCTGGCTATGCCTATATCTAGCTCTTGGGTTATGTAGACTATAGATTTAAGGGAAGAAAAAGGAATTTACTCTGTGTTGTCTCTTCTCTGGTATGTGTTGGATGTATTTAACCAGAATGATTGAACATTTAAATGTTTATGTAAGATTTGGATAATTGGTCTTAATCTATAAAAAGTACTGTGTGTGCCTAAGCCAGTTTGACTCAGTGGATAGAGCATCGGCCAGAGGACTGAAGGGTCCCGGTTTGATTCCGGTCAAGGACACATACCTGTGTTGCAGGCTTGATCCCTAGCCCTGGGCAGGGTGCATGCAGGAGGCAACCAATCGATGTGTCTCTCTCACATCAATGTTTCTCTCTCTATCTCTCCTTTTCCCTTCCACTCTCTCTAAAAAAAAATAAAAAATCAATGGAAAAATATCCTCGGGTGAGAATTAACAAAAAAAGCTGTGTGTACAAGGGCAGGGGGGAGAGTGTTAAGCACCTTAATTTGGGTAAAGAAATGTGCTCCTGGGAAGAGTTGAAAGTTCATAGAATTTTCCTGAATAGAATTTTGTTAAAACTTAGCTTTGGAGTTACTCAATATTTAAAATAAGTGAGATAAAGGAAGAACGTTTTTCATTAAATAACCATCCCTCTATTCTGATTAATTTTAATTATAAGGTGTCCCAAAAATGTATACACACTTTGAGTAATTATTAATTCCAATGAGTTAAACCTGAAAAGAATGAAACAAACTGAGCTATCAACTTCTAGTAGTGTATACATTTTTTTTTCGGGGGGTGGGGGGTGGGGAAACACCCTGTATTTATATCAAGATGGGTTGTGCCTGAAGGGGCTCTTGGTTAAGCTTATCAGTGAGAACAAAAAATACCAGATATCAAACTTTCCTTAGTAATATGAGTATTATAAAAGGCTGAAAGGCAAAAATCATACCTCCTTTTCCCACATACTTCTCTTCCAATTATGTCCTCCTAATCTCTCCTACCTACTGTACCCTCTCCCAGGGTCCAGGCTTGTGTCCTCATAACCTGTGGTTCTCAGGGAGAAAACTGCAGGTGATTCCTAGAGTCAGCTTGGAAAGTGGAAGGTGAACAAGGTTTCTGAGACTGGGGTGGAGAGACCTTTCAAAAATAAAAAGGGCAGTGTCCCTGTCCTTTCATTGCTTCTGGTGTCACTGCTCACTTTATGCAAGATGGCTTGGGCTGTGCAGTAAAAAATGTAAAGAGAGCCTTGGCCAATGTTGCTCAGTTGGTTGGGCATGTGCACAAAGAAGATTGCTGGTTTGATTCCCAGTCAGGGCATATGCCCAGGTTGTGGGCTCAATCCCTGGCAGGGGTGTGCAGGAGGCAGTCAGTCAATGTTTTGCTATCACATCAATGTTTCTCTCTCTCCCTTCCTCTTTCTCTAAAAAATCAATTTTATATGAGAGAGAGAGGGAGAGAGAGAGAGGGAGGGGCAGGGAGGGAGGGAGAGGGAGGGGAGGGGGGGAGAGGGGGAGAGAGAGAGAGAGAGAGAGAGAGAGAGAGAGGCCTAGAGCAGGGGTGGGGAATGTCTGACCCCCCTGAGGCCATTTAAAACCCATGAAATAATTTGATCTGGACCTGCCAAAGCACTGGCGCTGGGTTAATTAAATGTTTGACCAAATATAGTAGGCTAATTTTTAAGTTGATAATTTTGTATGGCTAACAAATGATGTTATAAATATCCAAATGGCCCTTAACTGAAAAAAGGTTCCCAACCCCTGGCCTAGAAAGTTACTAGCCTAAGGGCTGAGGTGTAGAGAGCTCTAGAGATACCTCTAAGGGAAAGGAAGTCTTTTTTTTAAAATATATTCTATTGACTTTATACAGAGAGGAAGGGAGAGAGATAGAGAGTTAGAAACATCGATGAGAGAGAAGCATCCATAGCTGCCTCCTGCACACCCCCTACTGGGGATGTGCCTGCAACCAAGGTACATGCCCTTGACTGGAATCGAACCTGGGACACTTTATTCCCCAGGCCAACGCTCTATCCAGTGAGCCAAACCAGCTAGGGCGGGAAAGGAAGTCTTTAAAAGGATATCCTTAGATGGAGTAGACACCAAGTGGAGGCAAAATAAGTTTCCCATTCTTGGGGGCTTTTATTCACTGAATGGGGAGATCCCTTGCCTCTTCTGCTCCCTTTTAGACCTAAAAAGCCTGCCAACTACATTTGGCGGCTTTCAGAGGACACTGCCTTTTGAGCTGTCTCCAACTCTCTTGATCATCAATGGGCAAATCATACCAGTGGGGATGTTGAGTCACAGACACATGATATAGGGCTGGGAGGTGAAGGGGACCACACACCACTCGGTGGTGATAAAATCTTCCAGACCACTGTACCTTTCCTTATACACTTAGGGTTTCTCCCTCGTGGCTTTCCCCACTTATTCCGTATCTTCAGGGATTGTGTATTCCTCTGTATACACAATCTGTATAAATATCAGGCATTGATGCTTTTATGTGTCTAGGCCTAGTGTCTTTTATATGATGTATAATGAGTCCCTGGGTGTGGTGGTGTGAGGAGTTAGAAAGCTCAGAAATGAAAAACATTTAATGTTCAGAGTAGCAAATGAACAGCTTACCCATTTGCATTTTCCCTTTCACTCTGACTCATCTTCCCCTCTCCCCACCCTATTATTGCCCCTCTACCAGCCCCACCCAATGGCACACCCTGTCTGATGTAGGAAGGGTTAACATCTGCCTGCACCCAAGCTAGAACAAGCGGTAGAGGGAAGACATATTAAGTCTGGAGGGAGACAGTAGAAGACTGGTCTGAATATTTTGGGGTCCTGGGGCCAAAGGGAGAAACAGGAGTTTAGAGACATAATATTTGAGTCTAGGAGAGGACCCAGAATCTAAGGGAAAAGCCTGGAGAGTGGGGGGAAACCAGAGAAGCCTTCCAATGCCTGACTTGTATATTATTGGGCATATATGATACGCCAGGCTCATATAAGTGATTTATCAAATCAATAAAAATTTGTCATAGGGTGAGGGATCATGGAATAATATGAAAAAGAAATTTGAGTTTCTCAGACGTCATTCTTTTCCCAAGTTAACAAGTGCTAAAGTGAAAAGACGGGAAATCTCCGAGGACCTAGACTCTTTGGGCAGGAAGTGAAAGAAACCCCGGAGTTCTGATTTCAGAGAAATGTAATTTGTCATCAACCCAAGAAAAGGAGTTTTTCTCTTCAAAGACCACCACAGACCCTTTCTGGGGTTACCCCCTTCAGAGTTTGATGGGAGGATCTGAGTCACTCACACACCCAGTCCTCAGTGATGGCTCAAATGACAGAGGTCATTTCCACAAAGCAGTCAAGGCTTCCTAGTATCAAGTCAGGCATGCTTTCGACTCTCCTTCACGCTCTCCTTGGAAGTCCGCTATTTCAGTCCTTTTTGCCTCTGAGATAGTAGAAACCGCTTTCATCTGCTGGAGCTCCGCTGACACCTCTAAGAAACAGAATTAATACTATTTGAGTGATACTATGTACTGACCAACCTCTTTCACATTCATCATTTCATCTTCACCCCCACCTCCAAATAAGATAAGCAGAGGTTTACCCTCTTTCATGGATGAGGTAAGTAAGGGAGGCTCAGAGAGATGATTTGCCCAAGGTGACTCAACTAGTAAACGGCAGAGATGAGACTCAAATGCAGATCTGATTAGTTCAGAGTTTTTTGTTGCCTCAGATACACTTCTTTGACTCTAGAAGTTCACAAATGAAATAAGGAGACAGGTTAGGAGATAGGATGCCTGGATTCTAGACTAGAAGGGGTGGTCTCTCCTGGAAGGGTGAAGCAGAGCCTGGGATAAAAAACCACACCCTGTGGGGGAACTGTGGCAGACAGATACTTGGGACACCCAATGGAAGATTGTGAGGTCAGGGGCGGAGTTATTGGGGTAGAGGGTGGGCAGGAGCCCAACAGAAGTTCAGAACATGCGGTGTTCAGGAGGAAGCTACAACTGGTGAGTAGTTTCTTCTCCCCAGCTGAGACTTTCTTCCCATTATACCCCTTCCTGTCCACTTCCTGCCAACCTATAGCCCTCTCCCTGAGGTGACCAAGTAATAATCCTCCCTCCCACAAGAGTCCTCATCACATCTAGGAAGATGCCTGCTGGGTCTGCCTCTTTGTATCTGAGTTCCCAGTTCTCTTCTTAAAAGCCAATGTGGTGATTTTGATGTGTGAGAAATTCCTGTCTTGTTGGGTTCTTTTTATTCTTCACTTTTGGCGTATGAAAAGCAAAATTAAACCATCTTCTTATCTTAACCTTGAGAGGAAATAGCCTCTCCTCTGTAGTTATTTCCCTTTCTCGCACTTCCTCAGGGGTCAAAGTCTTCTCCCAAACCTCTCTCTATCCCTGGATCAAGAGCCTTCTCTCCTGTGACTTCTACACCTGCTCTTAACTCACTAGACAGGCATCTTCGGTCTCTTCCAGTTCCTTCTCTGAGGATGTGTTCTAGATGCTTCAGCTTCAAGGAGAGGATTGATGCCTTGGAACCTGCCCTCCTACAACTATGACCCCATGTATTGCTGATTTTCTGCTTCTCAGGACCCTCAGCTCCACGTGATGGACTTGTGTGGGGACACACGAGCTCTCTAAACTCTCCCATGAGCTGTGTCTTGCTCCATCCCTAACTGACAGGGATGACTGGGTCTGGAGGTGATCTCTTTGTCTCGAATGAAGGGAGCCTGGCCTGCTCAGAGGGGCTCCGAGAAGCAGAAGTATCAGTATGTGCTATCATTTAAGTCAGAGATTGCTAATTGGCAGAATCCACCTTCTAGTCTTCAGCCCACTACTTAATGTAGTTGTTAACTACCTGATCCTTGCTTTTTAAGTCCTCACTGTAGTCTAATTTCCGTTCTCTTGCCACCAAACTCTAGGCCCCTGTTATGGTTCTGGATAAGCTCAAGTCCTCTCTTGGGTTAGTTTATTTGCTCTGTTCAGAACAGAGAGGTCTGATCCAGAACAAACAACTCATTCTTTCTCCCCTCATCTCCACAGGCTTGAGAATATGCTGTTCCTTCCTCCCCTTCCCACCATGGACCTCGAACTGTGGCCTTTGTCTCAGAACCTCTGAGACTGGTACCCAGGCAAGGCAAAATGCCCCTGTCCCCAACAAGACTGCCTAGCCCCTATGGCTCTGATCGGCTGGTGCGGCTAGCAGCCAGGCTCAGGCCTGCACTATGTGATACCATGATCACTGTGGGGAGCCAGGAGTTCCCTGCACACAGCCTGGTGCTGGCAGGTGTGAGCCAGCAGCTAGGCCGCAGGGGTCACTGGACTCTGGTGAAAGGAATCAGCCCTTCCACTTTTGCACAGCTTCTGTACTTTGTTTACGGAGAGAGTGTTGAGCTGCAACCTGGGGAACTGGGGCCCCTTGAGGAGGCTGCCAGGGCCTTGGGGGTGCAGTCCCTGGAAGAGGCATGCAGGAAGGCTCGAAGAGACAGGGCTAGAGCAGAGTTTAGTCAAGGGCTGAAGGAACATCAGAAGCCCACAAGGGATTCTGAGAGTGGAGTGGGGGACCTTGGAGAGCAGAGATCAGAGAAGTTTATTAGAGCTGGTGAGAGAGAACAGGAGATGGTGCAGGAGCACAGGCCACTGAGAGAGAGCTCTGAGATAGCAGAGGCAATGCAGGAGGATCAGAGGGAGCATGTGAGATCAGAAGAGAAACTCGACCAATCCCTTTTTGGCCACAGGGGAGTAGGTGGGAAACAAGAAGTGATCATGTGGGTGAAGGAGAGTCCAGGGGGCTCTGAGGAAAGTTTAGGGAAGTTGCCTGGCCCCCCACCCCCACCAGGTTCCCTCCAAACCAGCATCACCTCTAGGCCCTGGTGGGCTGAGGCCCCTTGGTTGAGGGAGAGCCAGCCTGCCCTGTGGAGCCTCCTGCTATTACCGCCCAGATCTGGCACTCCTTTCTCCCATAGTACTTCCATCAGTGCAGCCTGGCAAGAGGTCTGGCCTCAGGATCAGAGGTGAGTGAAGGGCCCAGTGGAAGCCTATCTGGGAGGGACTGGCTCAGGTGAGGCAATGATGATTGGTGAAAGGGCACCACATCTTTTATCTCTATTGTACATTTCCTGAACTGGAGATAGGACAAAAAGCTCCCACCACAGGGGAAACCAAAGCCCAGCACCTGAGAATATGCATCACCTTCCTCTCCAGGATGGGGTCAGTCAGGATCCCAGGTTTTGCCAACTCTGTTACTCTTCTCCACCCCACCCCTAGGATTCCACTGTCCCTGAACCTCCACAAAGGGCTCTGGAGCCAGAATCAGTTGGCCTTCTCTAGCTCTACCTCAGGTAAGCCCTTCACTGTCCTGCATGAACCCTGTAATATGGTCTCTCTGCTGGGGCTGGGGCTGCAGGAGTCCAGAGTGAGTAGGGCCCCTACTTCACTCTCTTCTCTCCAGGTTCCCTCCCCCAGGGCCCCGCGAAGCTCAGCCCTGGGGAGATGGAAGGGTCTGATCAAAGGCACACGGGTGAGTAGGGTGAGGATACTTTTGCTTCAGTCTCATTGTAGTCCCTGATATCTTACTGGGTGTTCCAGTAATCAGACTCTGGGATTCCCAGCTCTGCCCTCCTTTACCTTCTTTGTCCCCACAGGTGCACTTGCAACCTGTGTGGGTCACGTGGGCAAAGCAGGCTGCCCATCTCGCCAACAGCCTTTCAGGCCTCCTCCTGCTCGGTCCAGGCCCTATTCTTGTTCTGTCTGTGGAAAGAGGTTTTCACTCAAGCATCAGATGGAGACACACTACCGAGTCCACACAGGTATGGGCACCCTGCCAAACACTGACTTGCCTGCCCCTAAGTCCCTCTCTGCTGCCTAGCTCCCACACAACTCTCTTGTCCAGTTGCCCCCGATCTACCCTAGGCTGCCCTCTTTTCTTTCTTTTTTTTTTTTAAGGGCCCATTGACTTTTTTTTTTTTATTAGTTAAGGTATTACAGGCTGCCCCCTACTGGGGATCAAGCCCGCGACCCAGGCATGTGCCCTTGGCCACAGTGGAACCTGGGACCCTTCAGTCTGCAGGCCGTCGCCCTATCCAGAGCCAAACCGGCTAGGGCTTCACCCCCTTCTTATCTTCACCGCCCTTCCCCTCCACCCGCCCTAGGAGAGAAGCCCTTTTCCTGTGGCCTCTGTCCCCAGCGCTCCCGGGACTTCTCGGCCATGACCAAGCACCTGCGGACACACGGGGCTGCACCCTACCGCTGCTCTCTGTGCGGAGCCGGCTGCCCCAGCCTGGCCTCCATGCAGGCACACATGCGGGGCCACTCGCCCAGCCAGCTCCCGCCGGGATGGACCATTCGCTCCACCTTCCTCTACTCCTCCTCCGCCTCTACATCCTCGAGGCCATCATCCAGGGACTCCACCTCCAAGTAGGTCCCCTGCCTCCTCCACCTGACGGGCTGGGAATGGCTTCTTTGGCTGCAGCTAAAGAATGAAAGATATAAAGACAGGCCGGCGGGCTGGCTAGGCTTCTGACCCGGCACCCGGCTTTGGCAGCCTAGCGAATTCGGCTAAGAAGCCTCGAGGGAAGGGCCCCGAAAGCCCTCTCCCGGTGACCAAGGACCGCAGAAGCCTGGACTGGCGATCCCGTGTGGGGCGAGGGCAGTGAGGTTTGCACAAGTGAATCTTAACTGTGTGGGCACTGTTGATTTCATTACTAAAATAAAGCGTTGTCTGTGCCTTCCTCTCAGGACAAGAAAGCCGAGTCCAGAATTTAGTCTGCGCGGGTCGGGGGTGCGCGCAGCCTCGCCCCTGGTCCTGTAGCGGCCCCTCGTGGCTGCACGTCCGCTGTTCGGCACGGCGGCCCCCTCCTCGGTCTCCCCGACCTCCCGGGAGGCAGCGGGTCGGGAGGGCTCCATGTTCGGGTTGACTTAGCAGCAAGCCCTGCGGGGGATAGCTGAAGAACCCCAGGTCCTGCCCTTTCCACGGCAAGCCAAGGCGCACGCAGTCGGATTCTGGGGGTCCCTGGCCCGGGCTCGAGGAGCCGCGTACTCCACTCTGCTTTCAACCACCCGCCTCCTCTCCTGGAGGACGAGGGCCGCGGCTTCTGCGGCAAATCTGCTACACGCTGCGTAAAACGCCGGCCGGGTCGACCCTGGAACTGAGACTAACCCTTGGCCGCCGCCCCCTCCCCAGCCCCAGCGCCCGCAGTCGCGAACTTCGCTTCGCGGTGTCCTCGGGCTCCCAGGGAAAGAAGCCCCTGCACTCTGGGAGTGGTAGTTCCCGCCGGCCGCCGGCCGCACCAGGACGATGGGAGGAGTCCGGGGCGAACACCACGCCTCCCGGCGGCTCGGGAGCGATCTTTCTTTCTGGGTCGGGTCGGGACCCCTCCAGACCCAGCTCTCGCGGCCCCAGCGCCCGGCGGAAGAAGCGCGACGCCTGGACTACATTTCCCGGAGGTCCCTGCGCCTCACCCCTCTCCGGC